TATAATCAATAACTATAAGATGTTAAATCAAAGAATATTTAAGAAAAGTAAAGGGAAGCATGAAGGTAATTGTACTATTTTACACTTTAGAGACAAAGAAGGCTTCTCTGACGAGGTTTTGAACAGAAACGGAGCTAAAGTAAGAACAGGCAATGAACATGTCCACTGTGTTTGCTAAGTGAAGGATTATTATAATGAGTAGTTAATAATCCCTGCTTACAATGCTGTGTTCCATTTCCCATATCTTTGCAGAAGCTTTTGGAGTCACTAGAAGAAAAATCAGCCAGTAGGTAAGGAATGAATAGGTCAAGCACACAATATCATTAAGTTGTGAAAATTAAGTAATTTCTCCAACTTTGATTATGTAGTTTCCTATAGCTTTAAGTGAATATTTATAAGGCAATGAAAAGAGCCTACTTTAGAAACTGTAGGTATCATGATAATAAAATTGTATTTTCATGGTTTGAAAATAAATGGGAAATAGAAATTATATTGAAAGCAAAATAACATTCTTTATGTAGGAGTAAAATGAAGTGTAGAAAGATGAAAATTAGATATTTAATAGCACATTATATGGTCAAAGATATTAACTTCTTCCACAAATTAAATCAAGGAATAGATTCAGTAATAACAGTACAAATAACTTTTCAATGGAAGATACATGATAGATTAATATCACCATAGCAAAATCCATATCAATTTTTCTCCACTTATAATTGCAAATTATCTAACTTTCACAGTCTCTATATTGTGATTGTCTTTTAAAAGAGTAGGATGATTCCTTAAATCAAGTATATAACAATATATATAACAAACTGAGGCAATGATTTGCATATTTCAAATACTAGCACTTTAAATCAAGTTAACAGTCAAAGAGATAAACTTTTAAATTTTTGCCTAATAAAACTATCATATATAGCTTTTTAATCTTCTGTAGCTTCTAACATACATTTATTTTCATAGCTAGTGCTATAAAATGATGAGATAGCTCCAAAATGTTGGAAGTTGGAAAGAAAGATAATAATTGGCCATGTAACTGTCAAGAGAATTTAATACGATCTCTAAGCTCATTTCATGGACAACTTTATATAGTGAGTGCTATGGTTTTAGTTGAAGTTCTGTGTTCCTACCCATGTCCAGATCTGCATTATTATTTTTCTCTATTATGGATTTGTTCTCTCAGCTTAGACCTGACTATGACAATAGACAGCAAGTATTTGGCTGGCTTGTGAAATGTAGTGCCAGAGCACTGAAAAACTAGTTGTTTATTTTTATTAATGTAGCATGAGGAAAATATAGCATCTTCCTGTTATGAATTTGATCCACAGTAAGCTATACCTGAATTGAAGTTACAACTTCAAAGAGGTACAATGAAGTACATAAACCGCTTGTCATTTAAGGAAGAAGTAGTGGTAAAGGAGCCATCAAAGATGGACCCTAGGTTTATGAATTTTGAAATTAAACATCTAAATAGTGAGGTAGGTTAGTCAATTCCCAGGGCATTTGAAAAACACTTAGCAATGGAAAGCTAACTTGGAAACTACACGTTAGTTTCAAAAATCTGTCCATAGGAAACAGTATTGTCCTCCCTCTCCCATAAATTTTCATTTAAAGTAGGTCTCTGTGATCCTGGGGTTGAAAACACAGGATAGACCTGACTGAGGACTATTTTCAGTTCAGCAGGTTCAGCATCCATCACAGGTCTTCTCTGACTGATTGCCTTATGCCATACTTTCACACAACCAATAAGGGCAGTTCCTGAACACAGAAACTTCTAGCTCAGCCATTTCATCAGCATCCATTTCATCAGCAGTCCTCTCCTTAACAAGAGGTTGGTTTGCTTTCTTCTTGCTTGAATAAACTCTGCTTTCATACTCACACTTCATTGGCCAAATTTTTATCCTTTGAATTAATGAGAAAAATCCAAAAAGGAATCATGGTTGCCTGCTGCAGAGCCATAAATGGCTTATAAAGAGGCCTCAACTATGAGGATCAGGGGAAGTATAGGTCTCAAATTGTCATAATGCAACTAGGTCAGGGCTCTTGGCCTAAGGGGAGGACTCTTTGATTGCAGGATTTAGTACTTAAGAGATTCAGCTTTCTGACTCCTCCCAGAGGCTCAATTTCAAATGTAAGCCTACTTTAACTGGGTAATAGTTTACAAGAGGGTTTTTCTAATGTCAATCAAGGGTCCCCAGAAGACTGGAAACAGGAAACTTCCATCTAATGGTACAGATTTGTTGCTCAAATAGAAAATCTCATTGTCTCAGGAATAAAGGATGACTGATGCAGGGTAAGCCAGGTCCAAATAACAGTAAATAATCCTCCTGATCTAACCCTCCTAAACCTTGCTACAAAATGGCTGCTCACACACCTATAGTTCATTCAGAAGCCAGGTGGCAGTAAATGACAAAAGGACATCTTGTCTTTGTCTCATCTATGCTGCCAACCTAAGGAGACAAGAAAATATTAAGAGGTATCTTTTGTTTTCTTTCTTTGGTCATTTAGATTGATAATAAGCCCTTAAGGGGTATATATTCTGCTGGAGTACATTGTGAGACACACGGATTGCTTTGATTTTCCAATCATTGGGGAAAAAAAGCCTAATAAACAAGGAACCAGTAGGCTGAGAAAAAAATTCAGATGTCCAAGCATGTCTCAAATGGAAATGATAGAGTGACAGCATAGAGCAAAAAACCTATACAGAGTTTCAGGTGTGTTCAAGTCCTATTTCCAGTGGGGGAAAAAGGAGTAGTTCATGATCTCTTGCTATGGAAATATTCTTTAATAACTCATAAACATCAATGGATCTTCTCTAGTTCTGCTGTTTTCTGAGGAATTAAGCTCCTCTCTTTTTTTTTACTGCTCTTACTCTCTTCATACAATTTGTTGTTCTATCCTCTGTCTCCAAGGAAGGTCTTTTATTGTCCCGATTTCATCTTTGTGCTGCTGATTAAAGTATGGGAGGAATCTGTGTTATCAGAATAGTTAAGAAAGCAAGTTCTCTCTAGGATGAGACAGCTCCTTAACTTGGCTCTAGTGTCTCCAGCCTCTGGGGCACCAAAATGAGGGGAATAAGGGTGGGGGGGGGCGGGTTCTAGTTTGGTTCTTGTTCTGTGCTTACATAGTAGGTGGAACATGGCTTATATAGTACCTCCAAGAGTCCTTGGAAAGCCTGAGGTCACGGACTTTACAAGAAAGGCAATGAAATGCCACTGTCATGGCACTTGACTGGAGGAAGGGCCTTCACGCAGCCATCTCTGCCATGATGATGGCACTAGGACATCAGACACAAGTCTACATCAACTTGTCGACCTCTAGTGAGAATTATAACTAAACTGTCACTAAGAGTCTGAAAGTACTTGACATTAATAAGGTTGCACATTTTGTATAATGGTCTATTAAGCATTGGGCAAAAACTCCATTTACCTCTGGAATCACAGAAAACAACTGATTAGTTAATTTTTATTATTAGTTAATTTTTATTCTTGAGCCCATTTTTTATGTGCCTTTGGCATACCTAAATTAAAAATCTTCTGTTCTTATATGTATACATGTAAAAATCATCAGGATTTTCCTTCAACCATTATTTTACCTCTAATACATAAAAAGCTACTGTGGCTCTTAAAAGATGGTTATCTTATCTCAGTCAGACAACTCTAACCAAAATGCACATGTTCAGGAATTAACTCAGGCTCAAACCAAAAAGAATGAAAGCCATTTTAAACTAGAATAAGTGGGGATTTATTCACTCAGACTTAAGTGGGAAAAAAATTCTGCCAAGCGATAGAATTTATTCTTAAGAGGAAAGAAATATTGGCAGACATTTTGTTGCTCTTGTTTTTGTTGTTTTGGGGCTTTGGGCTTTTTAATTTTATTTTGTTAGTGTAAAAAGTGTGAGAACCTGTTTCCAACCAGAACTTTTTCATACAGTTTTCTACAATTAAAGCAGAACAAAATGAATAGAAAAATTCAGACTAAGCCTAATCTAATTTTAAAATACTAGCACTGTCTAAAGAGGCCAATTCCTCAGCTATAAACATGGAATAGTGAGTTCCTGGCAAAACTCTTGAGGGGATGCATAGAATCCAGCCATCAGTGCAGAGATACAACCAATGTACAAATATGGACATTATTTCCTAGGCTGACAAAGGAAATTATAAGGCATTTTTGAAACATCAAGGGTTATATACCAATCAGGGTTATATGCCAGCATTCATTAGGACAAGCACTTTAAATTCAAAGCCATTCCATCCATAAAAAATGGACTTGATGAATACCTATCAAGCTATAAAGCTTGAAAAGGCTTTCTGAATTCTATAGTGCTTTTCATTCACACAGGCCCCGGAGGGGGCGGGGGGGGGGAACTCTTGCAAACCCCAGTCCAAGTCTTAGAGCACTGAAAGTATTCAAAGGCTTAGTCAGTTCCACTGCTGTATTTTGGTCTAGTTCCATAGGTTTTGTCCGGACATGACAAACTTTCCTCTACCTATTTCTATCCACACAAATCATCTCTTAAACCACAAGACGATCTTTGAGATAGACAGGACCTAACATGATCTCTCATCCAGTTATCAAGTTCAACAAAAGAAAGTTGATAGTTGCTACCTTCAAGACTAATGTAGTTTTAAAGAGTCTCCAATTTATTATAGCACCTTATAAATGTCTCACCAAAATTAAGATTCTCATTTATTCCTAATGCTAAACATCTTTGGCTTCTGTATCTTAACCATCTTTCATTAACGAATCATTCAAAGCACAGACCTAAAAAAAACAAAGTTCTTCAAGAAAAACTGGCAAACAAAGAAAATCAAAATAAGGTCATTTGTATCCCTAGTAAATACAGAATATAATAACAGTATTGGTGACAGTGGTATTCACACATGTTTTTGCTCCCCAAGTTCTAGTGCATAATTTAAGAACTTTATGTAAGGTGAAAAATGTTAGCTCACCAAGAATTCTTGTAAAGCAAAGAAAGATAAAAAGGTATTTGAACCTACCTTAGGAATAGGATTCAGGAGAACAACACCTGATTTCTTAGTGATAACTTGTTTTGTTGTGTAGTGATAATCGATAAGTTGAGGGATGTTTGAAAACCCAGTGCCCTCAAATCGGTACAGATTCTGAAGAAAAATAAAAAAGAGTAAATATAAAGGCAATGCTTTAGAAAACGGCATCCAAAAATTCTACCTCAAAAAAGCTAACATTGCACAAAAGTGAACATACTTAATATGCTTAAATTATATATTTTAATATTAAAAGTAAAAAGGGATAAATAAAATTCTAACATCTATCTTTGAACATAAAGAAAAACTAATTTTCATACTTTTGATCAATTGTTTACTACTGATTAATATAGCATTAATCGAGCTTTCTATCATGGAATTTTCATGCAGTATTACCAAAAACTTCTATTCACACACCGCTAATAATAAACACACCAGAGATAAAACTTCAGATATCAACATGCAGGTAGTTCTTAGACCTTAGCATTTTTTTATTTCATATACTATAATCAGCAAGTAGCATTTCCTCAATTTATGCCAAGATCCCTTTCCTATTGTCTTCATATTTAAATAGACCTATAAGTATATTATTGTGTGGCTGAATTAGTAGTGGTAAAAATAGCAAACAAACAAAAAATAAATCCAACTGGCCATACTTTTCAATTCAAGGACCTCTGTAATTCTATGTAATAAAACCTTCCATGGAATATTCAGAGTTCACCTGTATTACACAGGAAATATATGCAGATACTGATATGAATGTGAACTATTATAATAAAATGACTAAGTGTAACTTTCCAATGAAAGTGAGTAAAATAGTGGTTGCTAAAGGCTACGGGAAGGGAGATGGGGAATAGAAGGTTGGATAGACAGTAGTTACAAAATACAATTAGATAAAAAAAGTAAGTTCTAGTATTCTATAACAGTGAGGTTAATATATTCAAAACTATTTATGCATTTTATAGAAAACTAGAAGCAGGAGTTAAAGGCATCTATCATACATACACACACATAAAAGTTTGAGATGGAAATGTTAATTACCACAATTTAATCACTGCATGTATTATACCGTATGATTTAATCACTGCACATTTATACACATACTATCACACTGTATAATTAGGTTGCCCAATTATTATGTATCAATTCAAATGGAAAGAAAAGTAAGTTTAAAAAGTGTCTAAATTTGAGTATTATCTGCCTTACTGGAAGATTATTTGCTTTGTTAAAAGTTAAAAAACTCAAGGCTTTTTATTCGTAGTACAAAATGCGATTCAATTTACCAGAGTTTACTATATATGCCATTTTTTAAATGGATATTTCTACAGCTGAATGTAGTGGCAGGTGACTGTGACTTCATCTACATAGAGGCTGAGATGGGGAAGATTGAGGCTCCAGGCAAGACTGGGCAAAAAAGATTGTGAAATTCACATCTCAACAGAAAAGGCAGTGTTGTGACAGGTTTATTATTCAGCTACAGTGGGAAACATAAAAAGAAGGAATACTATCCAGGCAAGCCCTGATAAAAGTGAGATCCTATCTCAAAAACAAAAGAAAAAAACAGAACAGGAAATGGAAGTGTGGCTCAAGCGGTAGAGCACCAGCTGTGAGCAAACAAGCCAACCAAATGTCACCTTTTCAGTCAGATTTACTCTGGCCACCCTATCCAATATAGTATATACATTTTCTCATCCCAACTAAACTTCTACCTTTCCTTATTAAATTTCTTCCACAGAAATTATCATTATCATCATATATACTTATCTTTTTTTATGTCTACCTCTTCCTTTAGAATCTAGGCTCATAAGATGACAAATGTATTCATGTGTTTTGTTCAGCAGACTTTCCTAATGGTCCACAATGGTATGTGATATATATTGCCAGTATCAAAAGAATATATGTGAATGAATGGAATGAAATGAATATAAAACAAAGTTAAAAAGACAAATAAGACAGCTTAAAATCGGGTACAGGCATGTTTATACACTGGTGAAGTCAAAGACATCAAGGTACAACAACCTTTAATAAAAAGTAAGCAATAAGACTAACGTCATACAAAATGAAGTTTTAAGTCAACTTCTCATGTTATATATAAAATTCAAGATACCGCCATAAATACAGAACTAGAGAATAAAATAGTGGGCATTTTCAGTTTCACCTTCTTAATTTAAGGACACATCTAATTTGAATTTAATTATTTTTAAAGAAATTAATCTGCTAGCAATGAAGTTCTCAGAGTCCTAATACATGGAAAAAGTAATTAACTCACTTCCTTAAAGATTTGGATACCACATTGGATCCAAAAGTTCTAAGACTTTATTTTAGTTCTAAGCAACTAAAAGATCAGCAAGAGAACACTTACTAAAATTGGCAAGGACTTGTTTCTTTAGACACACAATATACCAAGTATTACATTTAACTTTACATATCTCCACAGATTTCTTCTAACTTGTTTGGGCTCACATGGATGAATTTGTTTTTCAAATTTTTTCATTGCTTTAGCAATAATATGGTAAAAATGAAGACTGACTTGCTTTTATTTGTTTTCAAAGATAGGGTCTTGCTATATGAACCAGCTGGTTTTGGAGTCCTGGGTTCAAGAGATCCACCTGCTTAGCTTCCCAAAGCTGACATTACAGACTATTTTTCAAATATGAGACATTTCTTATCAGCTACAGATACTATTAATATCTCATATTACTTCAAAATGAAGTGATTTTAAAATATTATGGGACAGAGATCCATAAATTCCTACACAAATCATTTTTATATTACATTTTTAAATGCCATCTAACAACATTAAATAAGAAAAATAAATACAAAATAGGGGTGATATTTTTAAACTAAAAATTGTACAGATACATAGGAATACAATAATTCCAAAAATATGAATTACATTGAACCATAAAGGGAGACTATTATTAATCACAGATCCCATTAGCACATAGTTCTGAACTTTTACAAAAAGCATGTATTCTTTTGTTTCTAAAACATTTATTACATCTAGAATTTGTTTCTGAGTTATCACTGTGTTACTTAAGAATCAATCATGCATAAGATGAAAAATATAAAAGAATTGAATTTTGTTGCTATACACATTTCCAGATAAATTATCATGCAAAGAATTCAGACAGAATGAGCACACAAAAATGAGAGCAGGATTCAATGAATATATAATTTGAAATAATACATCTGACTAGAGCTTCTGCAAAAAATGAGAGCTACATTTTAGGATAATAAACAGGCTTAAGAAAAATGAAAAGAAGAAATACGAAAAGAAGAAAGACTACTTATGAAACAAGCTGAAATGAATGAACAAATTTCCCTCATGAAATAAAACCAAACATTTATAAATATAACCAATTAAACCAGTATAAGAAAGGATTACTAGAAAGTTTGGAGCTTATAGTAAGGCTTAATTTGGCTTACCCTAGTTAAATTGTATTTTTTCTTCAGATACTGTCTCGGACTTCTGCCAAGTCTCCCCTATTGGAACCTTTATTAGCAAGCCCTATGTATCTCATTCTTTTAAAATACTTAGTACAGTTTAAAATTAAATAAAGTATGTATGATTTATGAAGGACTGTGAATCTCCTTCCTAGACTATAGGAACCACTATTTTGTCACTAGGCCTTCAACTATTTCCTTAGAAGTGATATTCATAACGTCTTGGGATGGTGGTGTTTTATTATGAAAAAGATAAATTTCCCAAGTCTCAAATGCATTTCAAGGATGTATAAAATGATATAATGGGTTTTTTGCCTTCAAAGTACTTTTGTTTTCCCTTCAATACTTGAACAACTAGAGTAAAAGAGCATAAGACAATGATAAGGGCACAAAGATAAGTCCACAACACGGTATTAACCTGTCATGCAAAAAAGTGCTAGACTTCTACTAACTCCCTTAAGCCCATACAGTGAATTTAATAGATAATTCAAAGGGCTTAGAGACTAACAAAAAAATAAAAAGAACTGGTACATTCAATGAATTAATCCATTACCTAAAAGTGATGGCAGATAACCAATAAACATCTGTTGACTAAATGAATTAATTCAAGGAACTACATCATTTCTTTTTTAAATTTTTAATTTTTCTTGATATATGTTTAATATAACACATTTATGAATTACAATTAACTACCCTCCTCTCCCCAACTTGGAAACCTCTCTTTTTCTCTGTCTGTCTGTCTGTCTCTCTCTCTCTTCCTCCCTCTCTCTCTCTCTCTCCACTGTTGCTCTCTCTCACTCCTATCACTATTTTTTCTATCATTTCTTTCACTTAACACAGTGTCTTCTGGGTTCATGAATGTTGTCATATAAAGCAGAATTTCATTTGCCATAATGTCTGTATATACGTATGTGTGTGCATATACATATATATATATATATATATATGTTTTCTTTATCCCTTTACCTATTTTGATGGACTTTTACCATGGTTTTATATTTATCTTTATATATTTGGAATCTAGGTGTACTTTCAACATGTTGATTTCATTTTCTTTGGATACATAAGCCAACAGCAGACTGCCTGAAACATAGTTTATTTATTTTTTTACTGTTCTCAATAATGGCTATACTAATTTACATTCCCATAGTGTATAAGGGCTTTTCTTTGTTTCCTCATTTTCTCCTTTTTAAAATATTTGAGGGCTGGGAAGGTGGCTCAATGGTAAAGTGTTTGCCTTGCATGCATGAGGCCATGGTTTCGATTCCTCAGCAACACATATGCAAAAAGAAAAAAACTGGCAATGGCTTTGTGGCTCTAGTGGTACAGTGCTAGCCTTGAGCTGAAGAGCTGAGGGACAGAGCCCAGGCCCAGAGTTCAGACCCCACAACCGACAAAAACAATTAAAAATAAATAAAATAATGAGATAGGGTCTTATTATGTAGTGTTGGCTAAACTTGAAATCATAATCTTCCTACCTAAGCCTCTCAAGTGAGGGGATTATAGGTACATGCACCACAGCCAGTAACTAGTATTTGTTGATTTTTGCCTTTTAGAAATATCCATTACATAGAATAAAGAGATATCTAATGATGATTTTGATATGCATGACTAATGATGTTGAATATTTTTTTGCATACATGCTAGACATCTGAATGCTTCTTTCAAGAAAAATCTACAGATATTTAGCTGATTTTAAATTTGGTTAATGTGCTTATTTTGTTGGCTTGCTTTTATTTTTGCTACTGTTTTAATAAGTTCCTGATATTTTTTGGATAACCACTTCTCATAAATATATCCTTTGCAAATATTTTCTACAGGTTGTCTACTTTGTCTGTTAACTGAAAAGCTTTTTAGTTTGATGTAATCCTATTTATCTATTTTTCTTCCTTTGCTGCCTGTGTACTTGGGAGTATATCTAAAATTTCTTTTCCCAAGCCAATGTCTTGGAACATTACTTCTGTTTTCTTCTAGTAGTATTGTGCGTTTCAGACTTATATTTAAGCCATTAATCCATTTTGGGTTGATTTTTGTAAGTGGTTAAGCATCAGAAATCGTGTTTCATTCTTCTGCATGAGGATATCCAATTTTCCATTGTTCCTTGTGTGTTTTTAGCTTCTTTGTCAAAAATAAGTTGGCAATATAAATCATAGAGTTATTTCTGGATTCTCCTTTCTGTTTCATTTGTTTGTGTGCCATTGACTATCTACTTTCTATCTTTTTATGGTGGGGGTAGATGTACATCAGCAATAGTGTGGCTTCAACTCAGGACCTCTTGTTGGCTACACAAGTATTCTACCCCTTGCACCATGCTTCCTGCCACATTCATAGTGCTTATATTACTGCAACTTTGTAGTACATTTTAGGTTAGGATGAACCATACCTCCAGGTTGGTTCTTTTTGCTCAACATTGCTTTGACTACTTGGGGTCTTCTATGGCTCCATATTAATTTTGAGAATATTTTTCTTAATTCTGTGAAGAACAGCCTTAGTATTTTGATGGGGCTTGGATTGAATCTATAGTTCACCTTGGGACAATTAAATATTGCTTTTTCAAATCCATAAGCACACTGTATCTTTTATTTACTGGTATGTTCTTCAGTTTCTGTAATCCATCTTTTCTTAGGGTTTTTCATTGTAGAAATCTTTCACTTGTTCATTAAATTTTCTTTGTAAAAATTATATATAGGATTGTTCTCTTGATTTATTTTTCAGATAACTCATGACATCAAAATCTGAATTATCTTTGTACATTGAATTTTTTAATCCTATGGTTTCATTGAATTTACTAGTTCTAACAGTTTTTGGTGAAGTCTTTAGGAGTCTCTATATAGAAGGTTAGGTCATCTTCTCCTTCCCAGTGTGTTACTCTTCTTGCCTAATTGTCCTGTCTGAGACTCCCAGGACTATGTTGAGTAAGTGGTGCAAGTGAGCATCCTTTTCTTGTTTCAGATTTTAGAGAAAAATTTTCATTTTTTCCCATCATTCAGATTTTAAGCTCCATGAGAGAAAAAGCTATACATTTATTTCATAGTTGCATCTCATGTTGTTAAAAAATTAATTGTGAGTCAAAGGATATACTGAGTATCCACATGTGGTGGCTCAAACCATGTGGCTCAAATCCTAGTATCTAGGAAGCTTTAAGACTCTGAAAAAGGATGGAAGGAAGAGAGGGAGGAAAGGAGAAGAAAGAAGGAAAAAGAGAAGGAAGAAGGGAGAGAAGGAGAAAGACAGAAAGGCAGCAAGGCTGACAGGTGAAGTTGACGGGACGGAATTTAGGAAGGCATATTTTGCACCTAAAACAATGCTTTCATTGATAATAAAATTTCATTGACAATTGAATTGCACAAATCCCACCAGAACCAAAAGTAAGCTTTAAGTTATCTTTGCAAGCACATTGATATTTTTACAAAGTTCATGATTTTTTCAGTTATCAAAGCAATAAAGGAATGCTTATGCTGACACAGCATTTAACATCTTACAAGATAAATTTTTAAGTACTAAATATATTGCTAAATATTCTAATACTTCCTAAACCTTATAATGTGTAAAGTTCATAGCCAGCACTGGAATCCAACTCTACAACTCCAAGTTCAATGCTCTTTTCATAGCTCCATTATTTGATAATTTTCCTGTTCTCTAAAATCCCATATTACTTGTCTTCACCCTTAGTATACTTACCATTCCATCTATATACACGTTTGTAACCTAACAACATTTTATAAATTCCTTAATTAGAATATATTAGCTACCCATGAAATAGATGTTAACAAATGTCATCATGTACTGAACCCTTTTAAGCATGAAGAAAAATGGAAGATTCACTTGCACAAAATGAAAATGAGTTTAAAACTTCCCTAAACAGTCTATTTCACTTTGGAATCCATTTTTCACCTCCTCTCAGAGCACAATATTATATGTAATGAAAACTCACTAGAATAAACTTAGAAAGTAGAAAACCTGTAACACTGACTAAAATACAAGCTCCATCATTCTTAACAGAGCTAGTTGCAAAATCCTAATAACAGAAAGCAATAAAAACTTCAAATAAAAACTTTCTGTTTCAATGGTAATATTAAAAGCTAAAGATAATTTTCAAGTGACTCTTTATATTTCTAAGAACATCAGTTTAAATTTCTGCAGTGACATTTTAAGCAAGAAATGGTAAAAAGAAAACATTGGATTTTTTTCCATCTTTGATTGTTAAAAAAATAGTACCTTTGAGAAAGCTTAGAAAATACAAGGTTAATATTCATATCAGTTGTAGTTAATAAATTTTATACCATAGTGACAATATGTTCAAAAATAGCTAAAGGGGGTAATATACTTCCATACCTTAACTTCCATAACTTCAAAATTAAAGGATTTACCAAGCAAATTTAGAAAGACATACTATTAGACACAGTATAGTTTCCAAAGAAGTAGATTGGACAAATAAAAGTAGACAATTATGATTATTAAACTGAGTCAGAATACTGTACAAAGTTAAGAAATAGTGTCAAAATTATAATACACAGTTTAACAAACTTATTCTTCCAATTTACCTGAGTGACATTAATTTTCTTTAAGTTACAATTTTTTATTGTAAAAACTATTTTAATGTAAAATACTTAAAATACATATTTGCTTATTAAAATTAACATATCAGGCAACTTTCAAGTATTTAAGGATGTCAGAAAAAAATTATATGCTAACTTTTAAGTATTGCAAGCATTTACCATAAGACATTCATATTATATTACATTCAAACCACAATGAACTATATGGAAACATGCATATAAACTAAGCTGGAAACGTACATCAACATATTGTATGATAAAGTGTCTCCTTTGTCCATCAGAATATACAGAAAGGACATATTCACCGGGTTTCCCATGACTCTCTCGCACCAAGAAGTCTCCTTGTTGTTTTAACAGCTCTTGTGCCTCTATTCTAGGAATCGCACCATGGTACCAGTCTTGATCCGCCAGGGGCTTCTCACTTGCAGCGATCACATCAGAAAGCTGAACAAATATTGGTTAAAAATGAAATTAGAAAAAAATGTAATATATTTTCTGTTAAAGTCATAATCATGCTATAGAAATTTTAGATTAGAAATGCAGTGATGAATCTAAAATTTTCTTAGTTTTTAAAGCACATATCTTCTGGAGCAACATTGCCAAAATTTAGCACAAATACATATCCATCAATACTTGTTCTTTTCTACTATATACTATATAACACAAATTTATATACTTATGGTAACATAAAATAAATCTGTCAGGAAGCTGAGATCTGAGGATCACAGTTCGAAGCCAGCCAGAGCAAGAAAATCCATGAGACTTACATCCAATTAACCACCAGAAAAACAGAAGTAGCACTGTGGCTCCAAGTAGTAGAGTATTACCCTTGAGCAAAAAGAGCTCTGGGACAGAGCCCATGCACTAAGTTCAAGCCCCATGACCAACAAAAAAAAATAAGTAAAAAATAAATCTGTGTAAAACATTTATCAAGCCTGCTTGGATGGCGTGAGGCTTTGCGATAAAAACCCCAGTATTGACAGAAACAGTGTGTGGGAGGGAGATATTATAAAACAGATTTATCATTAAATAATATCATTCTTATGTAAATTAAGCATTCTTTCTTTTTTTTAATTAAATGTGCATCATAGGTTCCAGTAGCACTATCACAGTTTATTTGAAGCTCCCTTGCTGCACCATTTCTCACTTGCCTGATTTCCCCAACCTTTGCCTCTGCCACATGACTGGCCTTGCTTCTGCACAGAATGGGAGATAAGACCTTGAGAGAAACACCTAAAAACCACCAGTGCAGAAACACGTGGCTATCCAAGGAGAGGATTTTAAGCCATGAGCACGTCAGAGAAAAAAAATTACCAATTAGTTTAGAAGAACAAATGGTTATAGTAAGCGAAAGTGAGCATTAAGAGCTGACTATATTTTATTGAAGCTTTTCTAATTCACAGATGTAATCACACAGGTATTCTGATCACAAGTAAAAAGTTTCCCTGTGTTACTTTTTTGTACAACACTTTGACTCATTGGCTGGTACTCTACCACCTAAGCCATGTCTCCCGCCCTCATTTGTTGTATTTTATTCACTCACAGGAACTAAATTGTTGTCTTAGAAAATAAGAGTAGTTTATGGGTAAGATACCATAAATTCCTTAAGGTTAGGAAAATATAAAATATACAATGTCTGATGAGAAAATAGTTTACTAGTTGGAATAATAATAATAAATTCTCTAATTTTTACCTAAAATATTCTCCAAACGTCCATGTGTTGAAGGGTTGGTCTTTGGTCTATGGTACTACTGAGAGGTGTACTACTGAGAGGTTTATAACTCTGGTAGATAGGGTCTAATGGAAAGAGTTAATGGTCATTGAGTGAGTCAAGTTCTCCTAAGATACACTGAGATCCCAGCTCCTTCCTGTCTTCTCTCTCTGCCTTTGCTTCATGGCTAACAGTACCTCTACCACATACATCTATCATTATGTATTTTCTTCCATATGTCCAAGGGCAATGAGTGAAAGTAATTGAACCTTTCAAATCTGAGCTCAAATAAAACTTTCCTCCTTTTAAATTGTTTATCTCAAACAATTTATAATCTCAAGTTATTTGTCATAGTGACAAGAGGCTAAATAACACAGTAAATAAAAGGCAAATATTCACATATAATGTTTTATAGGTTGCTAGGAGCTGTAGGTAAGACCAAAGGATGATAGTATTTTTGTACTAAATAAAAAAATATTTTGCATGCATCATTCATTGTCATTTCCCACTGAAGAAACAAAAATTACTGCCCTAATTCCCATTTCACATTTTCTAAAACTCAATACATTGGTTAAAAAGAAAACATGAAATGTCCTAAGAGATCTCAATAAGAGCATATATTGAACTACTTGCTATAATTATTATGTTTTTCAGTTTTTTTTAATATGTACATGATGTGACTGACTATAAAGGAATTTTTGCAATTGAAATAGCCACTTTTCCTTAATACTGATTATAATACATCACTTCCAAATAATGAGTTTAAAGAAGAAATATAAACTAGCCATGGCTATAAGGCATAGAAGAATACTTTTAAAAAAATAAATGTATAAATGTATAGGGCATGGCTTAGTGGCAGAGTGCTTGCCCTTCATGCATGAAGCCCTGGGTTTGATTCCTCAGACATAAACAGAAAAGGCTGAAATAGGACTGTGGCTCAATGTTAAAGTAGTAGCCTTGAGCAAAAGAACCTCAAGGACAGTGGACAGGCCCTGAGTTCAAACCCCAGGACTGGCAAAATAATAATAATTAAAAAAATAAGTAAGTGTATAATCTACCCCAAATTAGCTCTTATATAGTAATAATAGTTTTAATTCTTAAAGAAAGTAGTCAAGTACTCAAATATCAGTTTTTAAAAACTTATCACAATATTACAGTAAATGCAATTTTTTTAATAATAGTAGAAGTATTTTCTAAGCCTTGCCAATGTGAAAAGTGCTTTGAGTAGCTGGACACCTGAATACTAGCTACTCAGGATGGAAGTATGAAGGCAGCCCAAAAGGAAAAGTCTGTGAGACTCCATATCTAATTAACCAGCAAAAACCCATGCCAGGACACACACACACACACACACACACACACACACATTATTAATTCAACATAATTATCTTTAAAAAGAACTTTTCACATTCTGTCAAAAGGTCTATTTATATAATTGGAAAGCACCACAAGCTATGTGCATAATTTCTTGTCCTAGCCAATTTCCCCAAGGAATCTGTATTTATTTAGAACTGAGAGAATATAAAGACTGATGAAATTATTAAGTTGAAAATCACTGAAGTACAGAACTCACCTAACACTCAGTAAATTTATTTATGGATTTGAAGATGGAGAAAATGTTTGGAAAAAAAACAAATATCTTTAAGTTTTGTGCTTTTTGTTTGGGTTTGTTTTTAATAAAGTATCTAGGAAGATATCTATATTGCTACCCCATACAGATTACACTCTATACATTTATCCCTGTCCCATCAATAATACTATTATGAAGGAGTCTGAAAATCCAAATTGTTGGTTTGAATTTACTGTAGATGTACATGTGTAAGCACAGATTTGTACACACATATATGAGGAAAAGTCATATGTACTCTGCTTAGGGGCTTACTACATTTTTCAAAGACTCCTCTTGAAACTAAACAGGATAATTCATGAATATGATTTCAATAAAAAGATGAGTACAATTTTGCAAGCTTGATAGCAACAGAAAATAAGATGCAAGAAAATGTGCTATATATATATATATATATATATATATATTATATGTATATAATGGAATTCTTTGCCTCCACCAGAAAGAATGACATCGTCCATTTGTTAGGAAATGGAAAGACTTGGAAAAAAATATATTAAGTGAAGTTAGCCAGGCCCAAAGAAACATAGGTCCCATGGTTTCCCTTATTTGCAATAACTAGTATATGTCTAGAACAAGAGAAAAGGTCAAAAGCTATGTACTTATGACCAGATAAGATGATGTTAAGCGAGATGAATCCCAGCATAGGGACACAAGTGACTTTTTCTTTCTTGCTCTTGTTTTTAACGTATTTATAATGTACTATGTGATTTTTTTTGTTTCTTTGGTGTGTTCCTCACCCACAGTATAACCCCTGTTTTCACTGTATTTGATTCTGGTGCCCTGCATCTTGTATATCTTTTCTAATTTAGGGAGGGGAAGAGATATAACAAAATGCTTAAATAGGGACACAGGTTGACCCATTGTAGCAATGAGATGTACAAGACATTATGTTGAAAACGAACTTTACAACTTTAGTGTTTGGGGAGGGAGTGGGGGGGGGAGTTGGGGAGGTGGAGAGAGAAGGGATGGTAGGGGAAAAACAAAGGAGGGGGTAACAATGCTATATAGGAAATGTACTCATTACCTTGCTCATGCAACTGTAACCCCTCTGTACAGTATCTTTACAATAAAAAATAAAAAAAGAATATAAGATGCAACAAAATCTAACATCATAAGAGCTCATACCAGCATCACAAATGAAAGAGTTTTAGTCTCAAATACCCCATCTTTCTAAGCCTGACTGTGGAAACACTTTTCCCTGGAGGTAAAATTATCTGAGAACTTTGCCAGAGATATAGAAGACCAGAAAGTCTCCTAGTTATAAAGTTACATTTAATCTAATTTAGTGAGAAAGCTATATTAACAAGATTTTTTTTTCTGGTTGACTGAGATAAACAACCAGTTGGTTGTTTTCTCCAGATTTTCTTCTTAAAGAACATCATAGCAACACTCTCTGTTGGTATGGTCGCAACAAAATACTGGATTTGATAAAACAGAGACTGATGCACAGCAAAAGACAATAATGATCAATACTAAAAGATGGATATCTGTCACAGGAAATAAAGAACATTTTTTCTCCTTATCATAGTTTAGGATAATTCTCAAATATATAAAGTTGAGTGGCATGCCTTTATCTCAAGCATTTGAGAAGCAAGATGAGCTTCTTTATGTGAATAGCAAAAACAAACATCTTGAAGAAGAAAAATCTTCATTTTACTAAAATTAAGTGCCCAAACAAATCATCAAAAAAGAGAACCAAATGGTATGTAAAAATCTGTGAATAAACAAAATAGAACAAAATAGTATGGAAAATATGTAAGTAATTTTCTTGCTGAGCTTGAACAAACTAAATAAGACAACCATATTGTTAAAACTTTATTTTAAAATAAAGTAGTTTTTATATAAAGTAATATTTGATTTTAAAATAATAAAGTGGGGCTGGGAAAGTGGCTCAGTGGTAGAGTGCTTGCCTTGCATGCATGAGGCCCTGGGTTCAATTACTCAGCAGAAAAAGCTGGAAGTGGTGCTGTGGCTCACATGATAGAGCACTAACCTTGATCTGAACAGCTGAGGGACAGTGCCCAAGCCCAGAGTTCAGGCCCCACAACCAACCAAAACAAATTATAAAGTGATATTTAATTTGTTTCTATTCTTATATGGACTGAGTTATTAGTTTCCTAATATAGGTATTAAATTATACCACAAAATTAAGTTCAGTAATATACTGAGGTGACTACAAATAGCTTGAAGATTTCTAAATATTTTTCAAAAATTCCATAACACTCCTTTTTAAAGATGCATATCACTTTGGAAATGGAAAAGAAGATGAATCAGCAAATGTTTACAAAACGTGGGAGTTACCTGGTCCACTGAATGGGCCATGTGTCTGATGGTAATAAACTGTTTAATTGGTGTAAAATGAAGTCATAAAAATAATTTTGTTTCTGCCAGTTTTTTCTAGAACATCTAAATAGTTACAGTTTGAAATTACTAAATGAGGGCTGGGAAGGGATGTGAAGGGTAAACAAAGGAGGAGGCTGCAATGCTTGGTAAGAAATGTACGCATTATCCTGCCCATGTAATTGTAACTCCTCTGTACAGTATGTTCACAAATAAAATTTTAAAAAAAAAGGAAAAAAAGAAATTACTAAATGAGTTACATCTTAAAGAAAAAAAAATATTCTAGATATTTGGTCTTCAGGATCTCTTGTGTTCAGGCCAGAAAACAGATTATAAATAAAGCAGTTATGCTGTGTTGAGCAGCACTAAGGACTATTTTACAATTCTACGAATTTTAGGGGTTCTGGTACAACATAAAGTAGAATTAGTAATTATTGTGTGCTAATATCATTAACCAAAACAGAGATACTTTATGAAATGCTTACATTTCCCAATGAAATTAACAACAAAATTCTCATTCACAAATTTCTTAATAAGCTATTTTGATACTACTTGAGAATTTTACTAGCGGTTTTGTAATTCTTGAGAATTTTAGCTAATATGCATAAACACATGCTAATCACAATCTAGTGTTCATATAAAAAATCTCTCAAAAATAGACAACTAAGTCAAACTAAAAAGTTATAATACTTTTGCCTCTCATTTCCTGGATTGCCTCTCTGAATACTTCCTTTGGTCTCGGATTAGAGAAATGATCTTTAGAAAAGTTTTATTTTTCCTTGTGATAGATAGGTGCTCTACCACTTGAGCCATACCTGTAGTCCTAGTTTTCCTTCCCTCCTCCATTCCTCATTCCCCCTGACCCCAGATGGCACTGGGGTTTGAACTCAAAGGCTTTTGCTTTCTAGAAAAGTGCTATACTGTGTGAACTGTACCTCCAGTTCTTCTGGCTTTTAGGAAACATTTCAGAGAAAGCCTTGTGCTCTTTGACTAGACTGGCCCCAGATCACAATCCTCCTACCTATGCTTCCTGAACAACTGAGAATATATTCATGTGTCATCACACCAGCCTATTTGTTGAGACAGGGGACTTTTTGTCCAGGCTGGCCTTGGACAATTCTCCTGATCTCTTCTTTCCAAAGTACCTAGAATTACGGTCTTCAGCTACCAAGCATAGCCAAAATGTATTTTAATCTAGTTTAACAGTAACTATCAAATATGCCATATATCAGAGTCACTAAGTAGTTAAAGTCAAATTCATCTATCAGCTAATTATCTTACATCAGCCTTCTATCAAGAACTAATGAGCTACTGGATAGCCTTTAAAGGCATCTCCAGTATTATAATCACACTTAAAAACCTTGAGACTAATATTATGGCAATTGAGAATGCTAGTAGGGTTAATTCTAATTCTATTTTCCTAAGTATAATGCATTCCCTTTATTGAACATTATGTTTTAAAGTTCCAATATTTGAATGTTCATTTAAATGAAAAAACTAATTCATAGTGGCTCCTCTTTAAATAAATACACCTATATATGCAAAGGAATGAATTTAGACCTCTACTTCATTCCACATACAAAATAATTCATGTTTTAAAAATGTTAGTATGAGTGAAAGCTATATAGCTTAGAAAATAATGAAGGTAAATATCCATATAACCCTGAATTGAACATTATTATTTTTAAATGTTAACAAACCATACACCAAAAACAATTGTTTTCATCAAATTTAGAAACTTTTGTGTGTCCAAGGACACCATCAAGAAAGTGAGAAGATAATCTATGAAAGAAATAAAGCATTTCTAAATTACATGTAGAATGAGGGACATAATTCCAGAATAATTTTTTTAAAACCTTGCAGCTCAACAGTTTAAAAATTACAGTTTAAGGCAAGAGTGCTTAGTGGTAGAGTGCTTGCCCAGATGAATACAACCTTGTGTTCAATCTCTAGTTCCTCAAAGTTAACCAAAAGAATCTAAAAGTGTTCAAAGGTAGTGATTACATTTGTCTCCTAAAAAAGATATGCAAATAGATCAATAATCACATGAAGAAAAGACTCAACATTTGCATTTTCTTAAGGAAAATGCAAATAAAAACTATAGGGGCATCACATCACACTAGGTATGAAAAACAATGAAAAATTAAATGAAAAACAATGGAAAATAACAAGCATTGGTAGAACATGGAGAAATTACATTTCTACACCGCTAGCAAAAATGAACAGTGCAGCCACTAAAGAACACAGGTTAGCATTCCTCAAAACATTAAACTCAGAATTGCCACATGGCTCATCAGGATCATTCATAATTGCAAAACATGGGAAAACTCACATTTCTAGCTGATTAATAAACAAAGATGTAAATTCCTACATGGAATGTTAGGCATGAGCTAGAATGCTATATAATATGGTTGGACATGGAAAATACTATAGCAAGTAAAAGAAACTAGGTTCGAAAGGCCACATGTTGAATGGTGAAATGTCCAGAATAGGCATAGCCATAGGTCTGAAAGTAGATAGCAGTAGTCAGGGGGTGGAGGTGAATTGAGATTAACGTCTAGTATACAGGGAGTATTTTTCCAGAGGATTTGATGTAATGGCATCAGATACAAGTGATGGTTTTACACAATATAGGAACTATACTAAGAACCACTGAAGGTATAAGAACCACTTTAAGGTATAAAGTGTGAATTCTATGTTTGGTGAAGTATTTCAACCATATTAATTTGGAAAGCTTTCTTTTATATTTAAAAAGTTATTTATAGAAACAAAGTTTTTTCTTCCATTTTATTTCAATGAAATGACACATTCTGAAAAACACTTTCCAAAGAAATTTTTAAAATTATGATAGTCCATACATTGTTATGCATCTTAGGTTATCATCCATAATACATAAAGTCTTAACACTCGGATTAAGACCTAAGAATTAGTTACATATGAATTTGAGAGGAAAACCTCCTTCCCCAAGTACATAGGACCTAACACAAGAAGGCCATAGTTCCTGGTACTTGTTTATAGCCTAAATTACTTGGCCAAGTTGTTATTACTACAGATAACTAATATTCTGTGTACCACTGTGACATGCCAAACCAAGATTTTGATGATTAACTGATAGACTTTAATTTTAATAATCAAACTGTTCTTTAAAATATAAAGACATAACCGTTACATTAAAAATATAGAGAGCAATGCCTGTCTAAAAATGTTGTTTCATTAGAAATTTGTTTTTAATATTCTAAAAAGGCTCCAAAGTATGTGGAACACTCCCATAATCATTCTCACATAGTATAGGAAGTGTATAGCATCATAGCAACCACTTTTCCTTGGTTTATCTTTCTGTATGAGAAGAACAATGTGTAAAGTACAGTATTTAGAAACTATATACTCACAAAGCCTTTATTACCATACACAGCTAAAATTGTTCTGGTTTATTGTTATTTGTCATTGTTCAACTCTTACTATGCCTAACTTACCAATTAAACTTGATGATAGTTAAGTACCTATAGGACAAAAAACATCAAGTATAGTGTCAGGTGCCACTCACAACTTTGGGCATATAATGGTGGTCTTAGGATATCCATTGCAGAAAACAGACATTCTATTGTACAAAAGATCTCATCTACTCTGTGTGTGTGTGTGTGTGTGTGTGTGTGTGTGTATTTATATATATTCTATATTTACTATGTAGTTGCTACACAGATTTACTACATTCATATAGTTTCTATACATACAAAAAGTTAAATTTTTTTCATTTTTAAGATTGAACTTGTATACATTAGAAAAAACCTAGACAATAACCTTTTTTTTCAGTATTACATATAGTTAATCCTACTTACTGCTGAAGAGCCGAGTGCAGATTTTGGAGACCTAATTATTCCAGCAATTGAATGGCGAATAGACTCAAATCTGGATAACCGCTCCTTTCTTTCCTGGAGGAATTAAGAAACAAAGTTTCAGAAACTATCTCTTTTACACACAAACACACACACACACACACACACACACACACACACACACACAGACTTTGTGTTTTTGTATTTATCCACAAATTAGTTTCCAAACTTAGTAAAAAAAAAAATGTATTGAAATTAAAGACAACAACCAAATGTGCATAAGAATGTATAGCGTTCTATTTTCCAGGCCCCTCAAAAATGTCTTGATTTAGAAGAAAAAGAAAAAGAAAAGAAAGAAAGACATTCACATAGGACTTGAAAGCAAACAAGGAATGCAAGCACACACACAAACTATAAAAATCCACACAGTATCAATTATTTCAGATAACAGTATAGTTGTAAGAAATGATCAAATAATAAAAAATAAAATGAGGAAAAGGAGAATTATGAGGAACATAATTTTAAATTCTGAATTTCAGTTTAGTGAGCTTTCAAAAGATTCACATGAAGGTGAAGATGATCATAGTAATGTTGATGATAGAGATGGGGTAAGTACGGAGGTAGTAGCAGAACTATCAGCAAGAAAAAATAAACCCACGTTATTATTTCCTTTAAGATGTGTATTTCTGAATATCATGTTTCATTTACATTTCAATTCTTCAGGTCCATCAGACACTAAGTGAATGAGATTAGAGAACAGCAAACAAGAGAAAAAGGAACATAAATGAGAAATGAGAAGACAGATGAGAAAAAGTATGTGAGGGTTTGTAATAGAAGCACTGTTTACTTTCCTAATAATTACTACATTTTAAATGTTCATGAACACCAAGAGCAACAGATCCCATCATCACGTACAATAATTCCACAATCTTCCATCAATACTGATACTAACTTTAGCTGAAAAGAACTAAAGCAGTCCACAAACAACAGATCTGTTCCTTTGTCTCCAGTACCTAGAATGTGTTTCTGTAGTAGTAAATATGGACATTTTTAACCATGGTGTTTTTAACCACTACAGCTTCTGCACTAAAAATTTTATTTCTCCTCTTGCCCACCCCTGCTTTATTCTTCCTTGAAAGGGTGACTACCAATAATTCATATATAGTTAATCATGTAAGACAATCCTATAATAATGTTCTAACAAAATGATGACGTATTGTCTATCATCACAATACTAAATTGCTGAAGAGTCCATGTAATCTCTATCTATACATCAATCTAGAGATACAAACCTTCCTCAGAGACTTACAAATAAGTTGTTACAAATGATTAAAAGTTGACAAATAAACAAGTGCATATTTAATATAATTACATTCAGAAATCAAATCTTTGCTGCAGTACAAGTGATTCCAATGATAAGGGATGCAAGCATGTATTCTGCAGCCTAATCCAGTTTCCCTGACTGAACCACAAGGACTAAAGTACAAAAGTGTAGTGCTCTTTTCTACAACTCATGTTAAAGATTTTCATTCTTTTATTTGTTTTTTTTCACTTGGACGGGGGGGGGGGAGGCGAGGGGGTACAGGTACTAAGGCTTGAACTCTAGCCCTCCTCCATTTGAGCCATTCCTCCACTTCCAGCTTTCTGCTAGTTAAATACAGATAAGAGTCTCTCCAATTTGTCTGCCCTAATGGGCTTCAAACGAAGCTCCTCAGATTTCCACCTTCTGACAATAAGGCCAAAAGTTTGTCAGAGAAATAGTCAAAATGCAAATGGGGTTTATAAAACATTTTAACCAGTGTCAGCTCACTTCCTGTGTACATTTCCACAAATAAATCATGAATCGCAGTTGTTAACATCTTGTCTGTGCCATTCAATATCAGGTTTAAATTACAGTCTACCTAGCAGTGCATCAGACTGTGTTGAATTTTGAATGATTTAAATGGCTACTCTAAAAAATTTAAAATTTTCTTTTCATTTATGATAGACATAATGCCTAAGTATGTCTGCAGCCTTGCCAGAGCTGATTATAATAAAATCATTTCACTGACCTCAAGTAAGGAGGAGATAAAGGTGATAAAGGAATTAATATGGACAAAAGTAAGAAGAGTCAGAGCAAGCACAGGGCAGGGAGAGAGGCAATGTTATATTAAAAAATAAAAAGATACTTGACAGTATAAAATTATGTTTTGATGAAAGGCCCAAAAAATGCTACAATTACAGCTGTTACCTGATTTTAAATAAGTAGGATGAGTTTAAGAATCTATTAAGGGGGGGCTGGGAAGGTAGCTCAGTGGTAGAGCGCTTAACTTGCATGCATGAGGCCCTAGAG